GCTGAAGCAGTTGTTATTGTTTGATCTGAAGGTGAAATCAACTGACAGCAAGGGATGCTGGACAGAGAGAGTGTGTGTGTGTTTTGGACAGAGTGGCTCACAGGCACCAGGGCCTTTACTGATCATTAGCAGATGTTAATTAGCTTGATAATTAGCCCATCACTGGACCTGCAGGAGTTTGATGAGTTTCCTGCCAGGGTGAGACTGACCCTCTCGTGGCTTTGGTCTTCTCTGCTCCTTTACACTTTTTGTCCTTCTCTCACAGACCCCTGGGAATGTTTTTAATATTATTGAGCTTATAGCCATTGCTTACATTTCATGAATGCCAAATACTCTTCCTCTGAGTGTTGTATAACAAACTGGAAAGCCATTTCCACATCTTCATCTGTCTGATTAGAAAAGAAAACATTAGCCTGCCAGATATCAGTGAAAAATCTGTACTGAGTACAGAAAAATTACCAGCAAATTTCTGCCAGGAGATTATCTGTTGAGTTTACGGACATTTCCTTTGACTGTAAAACACAACACAATGCAACTGCATGATTCAAAATACAGGGAAAACATATTAATCATTCATAATAATAGAGTACGTTGGGCCCTATTTTTATAGACTTTTTAAAAAAGTTTAACACATTCCATCACTAATGCAACAACCATCAAGATCCGGTTGTTGAAAAAAAATAATAGATGGAAAAATACAAAACAAGCACTGGCAAAACATGTACTATAATATCATGGGGTGTGTCTCAATCAGCTCCCTTGCTCCCGAGCTCATAATTCAGTATATCGTGTACACGAATTCGGTCACTGGTAAGTTCCCTGGCTCACTACACATTGGGACAGTGATTACTCAATTTCCGGTGACATGATTACGTACAGCATCAACGGACAACATTGTAGAACGTCATTGCTGGAATTAATCAACAACAGGCAGGACCAGTCTCTTTCTGAGATAATTTTTATTCTCTTTAAACACATCGTTCTGTTACATGTTCTTACAACATTTTGGCCGAATATTAATCATAAATGATAACTAGATGTGTTCATTACCTGTCTAGCGATGTGTGTTTATGCTGAAATTTTATGCAGATTATACAGGAGGGAGATGCAAGGAACAGGGATTGGGTGTTCTGCAAATAATAAAAATGGTTTGTCCAATGCTCCCTAGTTTTCAAGGAGCGAACGTTATCATATAATATAAAATGTTTATGTTCCTTGTTAATGTCTAAAAGTGTGTGATTATGTGTTTATGTGTTTAAATTAGGGACGTAACGATTAACCGCAAGAAACGTACAGTATTTTGTCCAAGCAATAATAAAAGGACAAATTTAATTTATAATTTGTCTTAAATCTCATTTTGTAAAAAAAAAAATCATGAATCGAATCGAATCGTGAAATCAAAATCATGAATCGAATCGTGAGTTGAGTGAATCGTTACATCCCTAGTTTAAATGTATTCATATGTCTGATATTAATAAGTTATGGACATATGGAATAAGTTATATTAGCAACTAACATAGTTCCAATAAATGATCTTTTTGGATTGGAAGTTTTGAAAGTTGCAGTATGTTTTCATAGTACACTGACTTATATGTCAGTCCAGAAAATTTTGATTCCCCAAGATATGACATTTTCAATATCTAGCTACAATTTTAAGGGGTCACCCCTCCCAGGGATTGAACCTATCACTGTATTGCTAGCAGCCCAGATTCTGAATCTTCTGGCTTACCACAACTGTCTCATGCTCTTATGGTTCTTGCAAGGACTGTTTCTTGGAAAAACTTGGGAGTTTGTTGAATTATGAAGCAATTGCTAAATTATCACATTCTATAATATTGTAAAGCTGTGTATTATTAATCCAGTAGTACAAGTTTACCTTATGTGCACACAAACAAATCATCTAAAAGTAGTTTGTCTTGATTAAAGCAGCTGCCTCCTCCTGTCTTGTTGTCCATAAGTGATCTGTTATGTGAGAGGAAGCAGTGCGGTACAGTGTTGTGGGTTGGTGGAGGAGAGGCGGCTGGTATTTGAGTGTTGTAATCCGTGTGGGGAGGGTCGGGGTCTGTGCCTGACAGCTGGGGATTCTGCTGCTGATTTACTTTAGATTAGTTTGGAGGTCAGCCAGCCCTGTTCAATCACAGCATAATGCTTTTTCATTGTAAGAGAGCTGCCCCTCGCTGCCCCGTACACACCACTTCTACTTCTGTTTTAACACCACTCCTACAGTATGATCACTGGAGACTTTCTGTCTTCCCCGTAATCATTGTGCATGTGTTTGGGTTTGTTTGTTTGTTTTTCACATTAAAATGAAGTATAATTAGCCAGGTGTATATTACAAATAATGTATAATTTGCCAGGTGTATAGAGCTAGGTCAGAAATTAACCAGGGCCTTGAGTAAAAAATGCCACCAACAGAGACAAAAAAGTGCCCCAGTGCAAATATATGGTAAAAATACCCCGCTGCAAATTCCTTGGTTTTCTGTCTTTGTCTGTTGTTAGATTATAATATTTTTAATTTATGAATTTACTGTGGTGCATCTGCAGACTGTACATACCCATAGATGTCAGATATTTGTATTTGCTGTTTCAGATGAATTGTTATTATTAACTAAAACTAAAAATGTATTTTGAAATACAATAAAATATAATTATTACATGTAAAACTTAAACTTAAAAAACTTAAATGAAAATTAGAAATGCTGCCTTGGCAGTTAACTGAAATAATTTAAAGTACTAAAACTACTAAAACTGAAGTACTTATAGTACTAAAACTAAAATTAAATTAAAGCTATATATATATACTTTATATACATGTATATAAACTTAACATATTAACATAATTAAAACTTAACACATAACAAAATGAATAAAACTAAAATTAAAATGAGAACAGAAAATCTAATTAAATGGCAAAATAATTTAAAATAATTCAAAATATGAATTAATACTCTAATAGTAAACTGAAAAAATAGTGTAAGATTTACTTGAAAAAAGCTAAAAATGTTACCTTTAATTCAATGTTACTTATGATTTCTGTGTAATTATTTGTGAAATGTACTAGCATTTTCTGAGTGAAATTCAGAAAAGCAGAAGCTTTTTTTCAGTGTGTATAAATAATATTAAATTCTCACTGTTTAGGGGTGTGTGTTTTTGAATGTGTAGCTATTATAAAGTATTTTAATGAAGACAAACAAATAAAATAAAATTAAGCTTTAAAAACACTGCATGCATATGAAGGTAAAAATGCACTTGAAAATCAATTCCAGTGGGCAAATATTGCTCTTTGTTGAAAGAGTTCATTTCTGACACTGATACAGAGTGATGATAGGTCTCGATGAAGAAGACTGAGTGTGTGAATCGCATGAGATGAGAGATTTATTTCCCTCGTTCTGTCACAGTTGTCATAGATGAGAACATGTAGGCTGCTTCTTACTGTGTGTGAATGTTACCTGTTACTTTTCAAAAATATTTATGGTAATAAAGTTTTGGAAAAGTACTATTGATTTGTTTAGTTTATGACTGCAGTACATCCAAAGCATGTTAATTTTGATTTAAAGTTTAGAATGATTAAATAAGTTAGTTGAGTGACAGAAAGTGAAAGAAGAAAGAAAAAGAAACGGAAACAAGGACAGGAGTTATGGTAGCAGGTGGCACATTTGAACATTTCGTTTTCCAACTATAACCACAGAGCGTGTTTGTCTGGCAAGGACATCAGCAGCAGAAGGCTGCGTGTGTGCGTAAGCTTACGTGTGTGTATATGTTTGCGTGTTAAATGCGTGCGTGTGTGTTTGCGCTGTGTAAGATCACTTGTTTGGCCTTGCATCCGCAGGATCAATGGTAGTTTTCACTGAGTAAAGTTATGCAGCGCGCTGGGGAATTTTTTAGCATATCCCCAATGGTGCTGGGCGGCTGCCTGGATAAATATAGACGTGTTGATGTGTGTCTCTCCCTCTCCCTCGCTCACTCTTGCACTCAACCTCCCAAGCTTTTAATCAAAAGCAATCTGGAGGAGGGAAGTGGGAAAAAAAGGAGAAAAAATTTGGAATGTGCCAATATCTTTTGTGTTCCTCGCTCCTGATCCTCTTGCTAAAGCAATCAGCAGGCAGGCTTTCTGTGTGTGTGGAGGAGGGTGATGGATAGCGCTGCTAATGTTTGCGTGTAGCTCGGCCCGACCCGCCATGCTTTTTCCCCACAGTTCCTGCGAATCTTCCCACAGTGACCATGGTCAATGCCTTTGCTCTGTGGGCATGTGATTACATCCCACGGACCTCGCAGTTTCAAGTCTCAACCTCTTGTTTCAACAACACCCACCTTCTGTCAGCTAACATTACTACCTTATATTCATTGTTTGTCTTTACATTTATCCCTGCTAGCACAACAGTTTCCTTTCTGTCTCATTTTTTTCAGTTCACACCTCCTCCTGCCTACATTATCCCTTATAGCGGGCTGCCGTTTTGTCTGTCAGACCTGAGTCACGTATCGCAGGGTTTCAGTGCCTCTGCCAGATTAGCTCTTTTTTTGACGCCTCAGCTTTTATTTTTGGTCACCACATGATGAAGAACCCTTTCATCTGTAGCCTTGTAGTCAGGGAAGACATGTTTTACGTGAACTTATGGTATCACATGTGCAGTATTTTATATATACATGCAAACTTTTTGTCCTATCTATTAGTTTTTTTTTTTTTTTTTTCCTTTATCATGGACACAACTTGTCCCTTTTCATTGACTTAGAATCATGAAATGCATGAAATGTGCCATCCTTATTTCATCTGCCTTTTTTCTTCTTGTTAGATTTGAAATGTTACATATTGGAAGTGTGTAATTTTTTTCTGTGTCAAAACACTTTCTCATATCCCAGTTTAGTAGAAATGTAAACCTAAGTAAGGCAGTTTTGGATTCATTATTTTTGTAATTCTGTTTAAATTTACATTAATTACACACTTCACTTTCACAAGATTAGTGAAAATTTAAATTTGAAATATGGTATTTCTTCTACCCCAGGTAATGTGGGTATGTAACCAGTGCCGAAGGCAACAGGATATGCTCACTAAATCAGGAGAGTGGTTTCCCAGCCAAGGGCCCAAGCCTGGAGAGCTGGGTTCAGCAGTGAGTGAACTGACCATGTGTGGAGATCCCATTGGGGAGAAGAAGGTGTGCTCTAGGTCTCAGAACCCTCTCGACTCCTCAGTTTCCACTGCCCATGACTCCCAGTCACCTGCCCCAACCGACCCCAGAAAAGGCCCCTCCACAGGGCCAGCCGACACGCCGTCATCACGCTCATGCAGTGAGCCTCCACAAGGAAGGTACACTTAAGCCTCTCTCTCTCTCTCAATACAAAATCTAGAATGTTCTAGTAAAGCAACCTTTTTTCCATAATAATTTTTAAAGGTTATAGCATACAAAAATTAGCTTAAAAGTCTCCATGAAGTCAGAACTGACAATTTTTATTCGTTTATGGAATATTGCTGTGTTTATTATAAATTATTCATCTGTGCATGTAGTTTTTTTTAGTTCAGTTGCCCTTGTAATCTTTAATCAAAAACATTGACATCCCTCCCCCTCGCAACAACATCTCTTCTCTGATGATGTGTTCAACAGTGCGTGGACAGTACAATAATGCCTCCAGCAACCTGCCACTCAAATGAGATCACAGCAATTAGCAGACAACAACAACCCAACGATCCAATCAATTCCTGATGGACAAAATCAAGTCCCACCCTACATTTTTTTCTTGTTTGAGTAGCTGTTTCACTCTGATAAAATAGGGAAGATAATCGCAACTTTCTTTTCATGCCAACTTGAATAATTCTAAATGGTTTATTTTTTGCCGTTAAGATATATTGTTGTATTCACATTTAAGTCAATTGCCTAATAGCTTTGGATGACACATTTTATTTGTATATAGTACACTCTTAAAAATAAAGGTTTCAAACTGTGGCTTTCTCAGCAATGTCATAGAAGAACCATTTTTGGTTCCCCAAAGAACCTTTCAGTGACCAATTCTTAAAAGGACCATTATTTTCCTTAGTGTGAAGAACATTAAAATAATCTAAAGAATCGTTTTCCACTAAAAAGAACCTTGTAAGGTTCCATGGATGCCAATGAAGAACCTTAGATTGTATTATAATATGTATTATATAATTTACATGTCTAAACAGCCAAATATGTTAGAAGAGATGCCGTGCTGGTTTGTTGGTCTTGGTTTGTCTTAGCCTTGTTAGGCATGTCTTTTGGCTGATTTCAGATACAGTTTGGGCACTCTTTAGCTGGCCAACTAAACCAGCTAAACACCAGTTTAGCCAGGCAGGGACCCCAGCTAGACGGACTGAAGACCAGTTTGGCCAGGCTTGAGTACCAGATTAAACCAGCTCAGACCTGCAGACCAGCTCAGCCGAGTCTTTTCATGACAAACAAGGAGCATCAGGACATTGTGTCGCTCATTTGGTTTCTATTTGATGCATTGTGATGTCTCATTAAAACAACATCCAGTCCTTTTCAATATGGACAGACAATCTAGACAAACAAGGTGTAAGACTGTACGCAAGAATGTCTCTTTTTGATGCTGTGTGATTATTTGACCTCTAGAAAGAAGCCACCAGCAGCCTCTGATCAGAATGGCAAGCTAGGGCCAAGAGGTGAGAGGCGGCGAGGCCTATCCAAAATCCACTCCGAAGAGCGAGATACCGGAGAAAATCGGAGAGAAAGTCGAAGACTGATGAAGACTCGCTCTCAAGAGCACGACAGTCCTGAGACCAGGAGGACTGAGGGGGAGCAGAAACCACCCAGGGAACAGTGCAGGACTAACCCAAATACTCCACATCATCTGGCCAAACTCCAGCCGGCAGAGCCTGATGGACGTATGCACCCTAAGGCGAGGGAAGCGGGGGAGATAGTGCAGGACAACAGATGTGCACGGAGATGGGCAGATGGGCGGCAGGCCTCGTTGGAGGGCCAGCAGCAGGCCTACGCCCCAGAAAGGACCGCGGGGGGTAAAGGTTTGCAGGGTGCGCCTATTGTGCAGGGTCCTCCTCCTAAAACAAACCACACCCCACAGCCGCCCGCTCCGGGGTTCAGGGTGGGCCCTGCCATGCCCGCAGGCCCACCTGAGCTCAGGGAGCCTCAGGAATGGGACAGGAAGTTGCAGCCGAGCCATTTGGACCCCAGCTCGGCTGCGCTGCTGCGCAAATCAACACGACAAAAAGCTGAGAGCATGCTGCGCAATGATTCGCTCAGCTCTGACCAATCGGAGTCTCTACGACCACCCCCGCCCCGCCCCTACAAGAGCAAACGGGGCGGAAACAAGAGGCAGATGTCTGTCAGCAGCTCGGAGGAAGAGGCCGGTTCGACACCAGAATACACCAGTTGTGAAGATGTGGAGATTGAGAGCGTCAGCGAGAGAGGTGGGTCAGATAGATACCTGCTTTTGTATAATTGATACATTTAATCATGGGTTTGCATAAACACAGACCTCCATGATTCAGAAAAGGAAACCATCATCAATATGAATGTAATATTTGGTTTGATTGATGAATTTAGTAATTTTTGCAACACGCAAATCGATTAGCGGTGACTATCAAGAGGTTGCATAACTTCTTTTAAATGCTGCAAGGCTTTTCATTTGCTTTGTGTGCAAATGGTTTTTCAACAATTTTCAACATTGTTTTCAACAATGATCGCCCATAAATGTACAGCAGGAGGTCCACTGAGAAGATATACTTTATAAAACATACTGAAAAAAAAATAATAATTTGACATTTTATATATACACAACTGTTCAAAAGTTTAGGATCAGAAATCATTTGACAATGCTGATTTGGTGCTCAATGTTGACAATAGTTGTGCGGAAATAGTTTTGCAGAAATACATTTTTTTTAAGGATTCTTTGGTAAATAGAATGTTCAAAAGAACAGCATTTATTTTAAATAGAAATCTTTTATAAATGATTTTACTGACACTTTGATCAATTTAATGCATCTTTGCTGAATAAATGTATGGTTACACTTTATTTAGATAGTCCACTTTAGACATTCTATTAACTATAAGTAACTTTGTAACTACATGTCAACTACATGTCAACTAATTATCATTAATTTGCAACTACATATCTACTAACTCTCAGAGTAGACTTAGGGTAGGTTTAGGGTTAGTAGAATGTTGACAAAGAAAGTGTTAGAAGATATTAAGCAGACAGTCTACTAATACTCTACTAACTGCTAGTTGACATGTAGTTGCAAAGTTACTTACTGTTAATAGAATGTCTAAACTGGACTATCGAAATAAAGTGTTACCAAATGTATTCATAAAAAAAAAAAAGTCTCACTGACCCCAAACTTCGGAACGGTATAGTGAATTAAAAAACATATAAAATAATGATAGATAGATAGATAGATAGATAGATTATTTATTTGTTTTATTAAGTGAAAGTGAAAATCTTGTTTTTTTTCCTTTTTTGTGTGTAAAAGGCTGAATACCTAATTTACATACTAATAAATTACATATCCAAGTATTAAAAACAGTATTTTACAGTGTATCTACAGTGGATACTTATAAAGGAGATGGTATGCGCTGAATACTTTTTCACTGGCTTTGACTGGTTGATGTTTGGGTTGTAAAGGAGAGGAGGTTATACTGGGCTGTTAGCCTGGCAAACTGACTGAACACAGACTTAAAAGGTCAGTGTATTAACACAAGCCAGGGGTGAAATGTAAACATTGTGGGGTGACTAGGAAAGACAGACTATAGGAGAAGGAATGAGAGACTTAAAATAGGAGAACAGGAGACTGAGAAGAGGTTAAGCAGAACACAAGGTTGCTCTTATCTGTGCAACATTTCATCAGGTTCAACAGAAACAACAGGTAAGAGAATCGACTCTTTCTTCTAAAGAATAGGAACTGAACAATTCAAGTTGACACCTCATACTTTTGCTATTTAAAGTTAATATATTGGTTCTGTTATTAATGCCCAAAGAATGGATGTATAATTTGAACTTTAAACAAAAAAAAAAACTGTTATTTTTCAGTTGTACAGAGGTGGGTAAAAAATGTTTAACTGTGTGCAGTTTAATCTATCAGAGGTTGATATATTTGATTTCTTGATTTCTTGATTTTATTTTTTATTTTTATTTTTATTTTTCTGTTTCTACTGAAGAGCAAGCATTGTATAAGTGCCTATAGTTGAGGAAGCACCTATCTGTCACTCTTTGGTAGAATAATATAATTGTGTAACAATACATACTGAATGTTGCAACGTGAAACTATGTACTAATGAAATATTTATTTGCTAAGCACTATATTTTGGAGGTCATGTGAATGAGAAGTACAAAGCTTAGATTAAAGCCCACACAGGGGACCAATCCACCATGCAACAAGCAATATATTAAATATTTATACCCTTAGACAGCTACTTAATATTACTTCATGCAGACCTCTTCTACTTAATATTACTTCATGGCATTTGATTATGATTTATGCATGTTGCTTTTGTAAGTTGCTCATTGTTTTGTGCTGAATTAATCTATATAAATGTGTGTCTGTGTGCTAAGGTGATCTGAGTGTTTTTTTTTGTCAGCTTCATAATTCACAAGGTTAAAAAAAAAGTATCAGCAATAATAAAAGTGATGCTTCTCTTAGCAAATACAACTTACAGTATTTATTGAACATTTGTCCATATAAAAGCAACTGGCCAACTGAAAGTACATTACACTTTTAATTAGAACTGCACGATAAATCGCATGCGATTGTCATGCGCATCTCGGCAGTAAAGCCGGTTCTGTGAAATCTCCATCATCTGCTTTCAAATGGAGTGGCATTTAATACACAGAGCCGTAGTTCGCTGACAAGCTACGCAATATCACGTTCAAAATCGCAGTTGAATCGCCCTACTTTTAATTGAACATTTTAAGAGCTGACTAAAAGCACTGGCTTTGACTGGTTGATGTTTGGGTTGTAAAGGAGAGGAGGTTATACTGGGCTGTTAGCCTGGCAAACTGACTGAACACAGACTTAAAAGGTCAGTGTATTAACACAAGCCAGGGGTGAAATGTAAACATTGTGGGGTGACTAGGAAAGACAGACTATAGGAGAAGGAATGAGAGACTTAAAATAGGAGAACAGGAGACTGAGAAGAGGTTAAGCAGAACACAAGGTTGCTCTTATCTGTGCAACATTTCATCAGGTTCAACAGAAACAACAGGTAAGAGAATCGACTCTTTCTTCTAAAGAATAGGAACTGAACAATTCAAGTTGACACCTCATACTTTTGCTATTTAAAGTTAATATATTGGTTCTGTTATTAATGCCCAAAGAATGGATGTATAATTTGAACTTTAAACAAAAAAAAAAACTGTTATTTTTCAGTTGTACAGAGGTGGGTAAAAAATGTTTAACTGTGTGCAGTTTAATCTATCAGAGGTTGATATATTTGATTTCTTGATTTCTTGATTTTATTTTTTATTTTTATTTTTATTTTTCTGTTTCTACTGAAGAGCAAGCATTGTATAAGTGCCTATAGTTGAGGAAGCACCTATCTGTCACTCTTTGGTAGAATAATATAATTGTGTAACAATACATACTGAATGTTGCAACGTGAAACTATGTACTAATGAAATATTTATTTGCTAAGCACTATATTTTGGAGGTCATGTGAATGAGAAGTACAAAGCTTAGATTAAAGCCCACACAGGGGACCAATCCACCATGCAACAAGCAATATATTAAATATTTATACCCTTAGACAGCTACTTAATATTACTTCATGCAGACCTCTTCTACTTAATATTACTTCATGGCATTTGATTATGATTTATGCATGTTGCTTTTGTAAGTTGCTCATTGTTTTGTGCTGAAATTTTTTTTTTCTGGGGTGTTTTTTTTAGCTGTTAAAACTTTCAGGAGTGATAGTTGAATTTTGTTGCTTTCCAGAGTTTAACATTTTTATTTAGAGTAACGTTTTATAGGACAACCCTGCTCAGAACTGGATTAGAGCCTTCCTTAAAAATACTAACCTATGAAGATTCCCTGACATGCTTGTAAGTAAGCTATCCAGGTCTCAAGGTACACAGAGCCGTAGTTCGCTGACAAGCTACGCAATATCACGTTCAAAATCGCAGATGAATCGCCCTACTTTTAATTGAACATTTTAAGAGCTGACTAAAAGTAATTCAAATCTGTTGTCTATAGCAACAATTAATTTTTACAATCTATTTTTGTTTTTCGGATGACAATTTGAGCACTCCTCACCCATGCTCGATACCCCAAGTGCTCAAAAATAACCGGAAAACAGTCCAGAAACCCGTATGCACAAGGCACTCATCCATATAACATGCCAACAGTAAATAGAAGGCCAACGTCACAGAAAGGGCTGAGACTGTCCCTTTGTGCCTGTGTGTGTCTGTGTGGGAGTGTATATTCAGCTTTGGTGTCAGCATTGCTTCCCCTGTCTGGGGACTAAATGTAGCTCTTAAACACAAATTAACAAACACAATCCCAGTTCTCCATCTTGCTCTGCAGGTGGGTCAAAGCAGAACATATTTCAGCATGAGATCTTGGCTGCAGATGCCCTTTTGGGGCTCAGATATTCATTAAGCATAAACAGAGCAGGTTTAGAGATGGACTTTGGCTAGTGTAAGGTGGCAGCTCACATAGTCAACATATGTATAGTATAACTCTATGAACATTTGTGTGTGTGTGTGTGTGTGTGTGTTTTAGGGGACTGGGAGTGCTGTCCACTGGACCCCACTGCGTGGCATGTAAGTCTTTTCCTACTTTGTGCTATAATCATTTAAAATTCAACATGAATTGATGTTTACCGACCATTTTACTTCCAGGATGTGATATTTTTTGAGAAGAAAATGTATGGCAGAACTATCAATTGTAAATCAATTGGAACGTATTTGTTACATATGTCACTGTAGCTCAAACATCAAAGCACTAACATTGCCAAGGTCATGGGTTCAATTCCTAGGAAATGCATGAAGTTATGCATAGCATAGCATTTGTGCCTTGAGTGACAGAAGTAGAAAATTAACTTTTTGAAAAAGTATTAGAATGACTTCTTTAGAATAACATTTTCTTTTGCAATCATTTACAGTATGATCAGGAAAGTGAATTAAGCTTTGCTTAATTAAGCTTCTTAATTTTAAATTAAGAATTTAAGCTTTGTTTTTATAACTTTAAAGTGACAGAGAACACTCATGAATTATGTACAGTGTTATTTAGTATAATTAAAATAATATTATAGTTTTTTTTTTTATATTTTGAATTAGTTTTTTTTTTCCTTTTAGTTTTAGTAATTTTTTGTTGTGCTGTGCTTTTTTTTATATATATATATCTATATAGTTTTTATTAATTTTTATTTCAGATTTAGTTTGTTTAGTACATCAAGTGAAACTAAATGAACATGGTTTTTATGGGTTTAATTTTAGCTTCTGTTAACTATAATAACCCTGGTTGTGTCTGTGTGTGTGAATGCGCATGAGTGTGAAGGTGAGGTAAGGGTTAGATGTAATGGGATGGTACTTTCTCTGATGGGATTAATCTCTGCCTTGTTCTCTTTAGCATCCGGTTACATGGCAGCCCTCCAAGGAAGGTGATCATTTAATTGGCCGAATCACTTTGAGCAAGCGAACAGCCATGCCAAAAGAGGCTGGGTCTCTGCTAGGGCTAAAGGTAAGGGGAAAGCAACTCGCATAAACATACTGTATAAACACAAGTTCCTCTCCTGACTGTTATGAAGTCAACAACTACACCATGTCATTGGCCATGTACGAAAAAAGGAAAAAACAATGCACTGGATATGCACAATAGGTTTTGTGGCATTTATGAATTCTCTGTAGACTTTACCCATCTTTAAATGATTTGTACGGGTACAGGTGGTCGGGGGGAAGATTACAGAAACTGGGAGACTTGGGGCCTTCATCACCAAAGTCAAGAAAGGAAGTATAGCTGATGTGGTGGGTCATCTACGGGCCGGTGAGTCCAGAACCTCTCTCAGTTTGTAACTTAAAAACTAGGACTGTTAATTGATTAAACAGTGTAATCAAATAAATTACCTCATACACTGATTTAGCAAATTAATCATAATATGGATGCATATATTAGTGGTTCTCAACCAGGCCCAGGGCCCACTAGCAAACTTCTAAGGTGGCCTCAAGATGACTTCAAATTATTTAAAGTGAGATAAAACAAGCATTAAAATGTTAAAATCAAAGATAAAAAAAATAAAAATTGAACAGGTGTACCTAATAAAGTGGCCGGTGAGTGTATATAAATCACCCCTAAAGGGTTAGTTCACCAAAAATGAAAATTAGGCCGTGTTTTACTCACCCCCGAGGCATCCTAGGCGTATATGACTTTCTTCTTTCAGACAAATCCAGTCTGAGTTATATTAAAAATTGTCTTTGATCTGTCAAGCTGTTTAATGCCACTCAGCGGGTGTTGCATTGCTTCGGTCCAAAAGAACTTAAATAAAAATCGCCCATCCATAAAAAAAAGTGTCTCACACGGCTCCGGGGGGTGAACAAAGGCCTTCTGTAGCGAATCGATGCGTTTTTGTAAGACAAATATCCATATTCAAGTAAGTTTCCTTACTTTAGCAAAGGCAAATCAGTCTCCTCTTGGCTTATATCAAAATCCTCTGACATTCTTCTTTACAAATCCTCGTTTTGCACTTCTAATTCTTGACCGTTGTTTTGTTTTGATCTCTCCCCTGCGCTTCCGCGTGCGACACTTCTGAGCGGCGCATGTGCAAAGCTGACCTCATACGTCATGCTCCCGGAACTGCTTCTGTGTACAAC